CAGGAGAGCTCAGCTCTGCCCCGGGTGGGATCTGGAAACCTGGGAAGGGCACTCCAGGTAGAGCCCTGGGAGTCAGCCAGGACTCTGGGTTGTGTAGGCTGGAAACAGCATGGCACTCTCTGGGAGTTGGGGACGTTTGGGTGTCCCTTGGATGCAGGGCGAGTGGTGGGCAGTGCTGGGGTTGTGCCAGGGAGCTCCCAGAGGCCTCCTGCCTGGCTCTCTGGCAGGAGGTGGGTCCAGGGAAGGGCTGAGGCAGGCGTCCTGTGATTCGTGAGCAAACGGGACCCGAGGCAGCGGACGAGGCTGTGCCTTAGACTAGCTGACTTGTGCCAGGCTCGGTTCTAAGCGCTGAATCCATAAAGGAGCACTTTCCTCCTCCCACACCCCCGTGAGGTCAGTTTGGTGACTCGTCCGAGGTCACGCGGTGCACTAGCAGCAGAGCTGGGATGGGAACCCAGGCTCTAACCACTGGGACACACTGCCCCATGCTGGCCCTATCCCGTGTGCTGCCATCTGTGCTGTGCTTACTGGCCATCTGGGGGGTGCTCAGGAGCCAGAAGGCGGCCTGGCCTGATGGCTGATGAGGTGTGTGTGTGGGGGGGTGTCCCACAGAGCCCCTGGGCCCCCCACTCCCTGTCATGTGACCTGGAGATTTCTGAGCCTCGGTTTCCTCACCTCAGCGGCGCCTGGTCCCACCACGGGAAGCGGTGCACAGAGCGAGTGCTCGGAGACCCTGTGAATCGGCCAGGACTCCGGGTTGCTGTGACAGAAGCCAGTGCACACGGGCCCCAAGCCCCAGAGGGAATGGACTGGCTCACAGGACGGGAAGCACAGAGGGCGGGTGCGGGGTCCGGGCACAGCTGCAGGGAGTGGTCGGACCATATGGTCAGGATCCTGCCGCTCTGCCGCTCTGGCCCCAGCCTTCCTTTGTGTTGGCAAAGTTCTCAGGCCACCGCAGCGGCAAGATGGCCATTAGCGCCTCCGGGTTTCCAGGCGGTGGCTTAGCCAGGAAGGCGCCTCTTCCCTGCAGTGCTGGCTCAAGGGCTGGGTCTACCTGCGGTCACATGCCCATCCCAAGCCAGTCATGGTGGCCGGCAGGACTAAGTGGGGCTCACGGTGCCCCAAGAGTGAATGTCCGCCCTGCAGCCCCACCCCAGCCTGGCTGCACCCGGGTCCCTCTCCCCGGATGACACCTGGGAACTGGGTACAGCCACTCTCCTCCCCCTGGGGTGGTGTCAGGACAGAAGTGCTCGCTTTACAGCAAAATCACCTACCTAATTAGGCGCTCGGAGCTGGCAGGAGGGAGTGGGGGTTTTGTTGATTTTTTTAGACTTTTAGCACTGAAGCTGTGTGATAATGTAACTGTGCAGTTAGGAATTAATTTCTCACTCCCGCAAGTGATGTCTTAACTTGGGGCCCGAGGGGAGCCAGCCCGGCGCTTCTTCACCTGCAGTGGCCCCTCTTCCCCTGCTCTTGTTGGGGTTGGGACACTCCTACAGCTGTCACTCAGGGTGGGAGGAGAGGGGGGAGAGCACCTGTCACAGGCGTTACTCATGCTCCTAGGTTCCCCGAGTGCCTACTGTGTGTTGCGTGCCTACTGTGAGCAGCAGGGCTGGTGCAGGTGCTGTGTCTGAGGAGGAGAGGGTGCGTGGCCAGTAGTCAGCCAGTCCTGGGATAATTCTGCAGCCCCTGCCCTCACAGGGACCACAAGGTCTCTGGGGGGGGGGGGGGGGGGGGGCGGGCACCCGGGGGCAGCCAGGTGAGGACAGGCCACGGGAGGGGGGGGGGGGGCGGAGTCCCCCTGGGATGGCACCATCATTGCCCTCAGCGGTCACCTGCTGGTGAACAGCCCCTCACTGGCTTTCCTCCTCCCGCTCCTTCACTGTGCTTCCTGGGATCCCCTCCCAGGTAAACTGCTGCTCCCAGTCCTTGGCTCAGGGCTGCCTGGGGAACCCAGACTAGCAGGGTGTGGAAGGAGCCGGAGCAGAGATGGCGCATTCAGCCTGGGGGCAGGGAGGGGTGCAAGGCTCCATGGAGAAGGAAGGATGAGAGAGGAGAAAGGGCATTGTGCAGAGGACAGGGGCAGAGAAGGGTGTGTGTGGGGAGCTCCTGGGCCGGGCCTGGCGTGGTGCCTGGGAGGCCAGCGGTAGGAGCAGGGTTGGGGGAGGGGATCGAGGCAGACTGGAGGCCAGGGGCTGGGTCTTTGATCTGAGAGCAGTGGAGAGACATTGAAGGTTGAACTTGGGGAGTGACACAGCTGTAGTTTTAGGAGGTTTTCTCCTGCGGAAGGTGGGCTGTTGGGGAGGAGGCAGGAGGCAGGAGACTAGCCGGGAGGCTGCTGTGGTGTCAGGAGAGGGAGGGCTTCCGGATGCGGGCAGGGGTGGTGGAGCTGTGGGCAGACTGTCCGCATGGGTGCATGGAGTCACTATCAGGGCGGTGTGCTCCCTGGGGCAGAGAGTGAAACCCACAGATCCTCCCTCCCAGCTGCATGTTCTCCCCAGCTCTCCCCACCCTGTCCAGCGGATCCTCCTCCTCTCAGAGAAGAACGAGAATTTCTGAGTTCTCACTGTGCACCTACTATGTGCCCTTTATCACTGAATGCGTTTGCACCTCATCTCGTTTCCCCAGACAGGAGAGGCAACTGCGGCAAACACCCCATGAGGTTCATGGAAGATGAAAGAAAGAATTAGGACCTGGGAGGAATGTGTAGGCTAATGCAGTCCCCCGAAGAATCCATAAGATCTTCCTTCCATGCTGCTCAGAACTCAGCAACTCATCACGTTTCCCTTTTTGACTTGACAGCCAGGAAGCTCAAACAGAGCTAAGATCTTGACACTAAATTTTCCAAGAGATTTTTCTTGGGAGCTTTTCAGTGGGGACCCCGAGGGCTGCAACTGAGGAGGTCCTGGGGCGTTTTGCAGGAGGCGTGTTCCCACATTGAAGATCCGGGGCATCAGGCCAGGGTGAAGGGAGGGTGCCTTCTTAAGTGGCCATGGACCTGGGCTCTGTGAGGAGGGACGGGGCGTCAGACCAGGCAGCGTCATCCTGAGGGCTCCCACAGCCATGCCCTGGCGGCGGTGGCCGTGGTCTGCCCTCGTCCCGGGGAGCATGAAGAGGGTGGAGGTGCCATCCAGGTGGTGCGGGAGCTCGCACCCGCTAACGCGGGGCGAGAATGCGAGCAGGGCCTGGCAGGCAGCAGGCCTTCAAAGCCATTTGCTCTTTCTGGCTCGCCATCCTCGGTGAAGCATCTATTTATGTTTACTGTGAGACTTCATGGGGACGGGAACCAATCCTGGTCTGGCACCTGCTGGACCTCACCAGGTGAGCCTGGGGCACCTGGAACACAGAGCCAGGTGGGTTCAGCCTGGCACGGCTGGGAACCCCCACCTCCAGCCACCCAGGGAGGCATCACAGCCTGGGGGCCCAGCTCTCCCAGGGCCTGGTGCTGCCCCCTTGGCAGGAGGGAGAGAGCCTGGGCAGGAGGCAGCGGGCTGCATGCCTGGGGGGGAGGGGTGGGGAGGGGCTGGCAGGAGCGGAGCCTGCGATGGGGTGATGGGGTGGCTCTCCTAGGCCTGGTGTGTGTGTGTGTGTGCGCACATCAGTGTGAGAGCGCCTGTTTGTGTGCCCATGTGTGCCACCCCCGCAGCCTTCATCACACATATCTCCTTGGCTGCCTGGAGAGCTCTTTCTACAAAATATGAAAACGACAGCTTGGCTCACCCACGCGCGGAATCCTCATACAGCTCCACTCTCTCGATGCCCCCCTCTCAGATCATCCTCTGCCCTCATTCACGGCCCCCATCCCCCCTCAAGCCTCCCCCTCTCCTCAGGGCGGCTGCCCTTGGCCCCCCTCCCTCCCCGCCTCCCTTCTCCTCTGATCCCCCAGGTGTCTGTCTCTAGTTCTAGGCCTCTGTCACCTTTTTTTGGGTCACGCCCCCTCATCGGAATTGGGGCTCTGGAAGGAGTGTGTGTGTGAATGAGGGTGTATAAGGGGTGAGTGTGTGTGCACCAATGGTTGTGTGCAGGTGTGTGATTGTGTGTGTACAAGGGGGAGACAGAAAGAGGGAGGGAGGGAGGGTGTGTGATATATTCTGCTTCTTCCTGGTCTACCTGGATCTGCTCTATTGCCTGACTTTAATGTTGCTGATGACGGTGGCGGCAGGTGGAGCGGCCTCTGTGGGGGGTGGGGGTTTGGGGAAAAGGTTTGGTGAGTGGGGCTGGGTCAGGCTGGGGCTGCAGGCGCTGGGTCAGTGGGTGGTGGTGGGGGGCAGGTAGGATCTGGTGGAAGGGTAGGGAACCACAGAGGGGACCCGGAGGTCTGCTGCCTGTGGAGGTCTGATGCCATGGAGCTGCAGGGGGAGGGTGGACCTGTTTGGGGGGCCCCCCGAAGAAGAAAACCAGGGCCATGGTGAGGGCCCCGGTTTGAGTCTCTCCCCCGCCGAGTGGGTGCTGCTGAGGGTGCCGGTCTGAGTCATTCTCGGGCTCACTTTCCCCTTCGCTGCCTGGCTCAGTGTGGACGTCAGGGCAACTGCACAGGACCTTAAGCGTAAAGAAGGTTCCAGTGGACAGAGATGAGGACCGTGACGTCCAGCTGCCATCTGGGCCGGCCCAGGGACCTCCGCTGCTCAGTCCTCCCTCTGAGGAATGGGGCTGACCCTCCCTGGGCCAGAGGCTGCTCCGGAGGCGGGGCGGGAGCCACCGGCCCACAGTGGGCACCCAGGTCTCGGCCCCTCCATCCCTCTGTCCCAGCAACAACTCCTGATCCTCAGGGCAGCCTGGGAGGGTGATGTCGCCAGCCCCCACCCCCTCTCAGAGGAGGAGACAGCTCGGGGCCACACAGTGGACTGGGCACCGCCTGGATTCTGGCCTCCTTTTCCCACTTACCTTCCCAGGCAGGCGTGGGCACACATGGGTGGGTGTGGGTGGCCAGGGGCCTCTGTGGTCTGGCCCGTGGTCCTGCCTGGCCCTCCTGCACCGTCTCATCTTCCCTCTCCCCACAGGATGGTGGAGTACTCGCTGGACCTTCAGAACATCAACCTGTCGGCCATCCGCACCGTGCGTGTCCTGAGGCCCCTCAAGGCCATCAACCGAGTGCCCAGTGAGTTGGCGCCCCTCCCCCACCCCTGGCCCCTAGAGACCGCATTCACCCTTTCAGGGCCAGGCTAGTGCTGGGCAGGGGACCCCCAGTGACCGGACAGGTGTCGGTCCTGCTCCCACGGGGCTCACGGGCCAGTATTGGGCCTGAAGCTTGCAGCGCGCTGGGGATCCTGGCTTTCAGGAGCGAGGTTCCTGGGGGAGGTGGCGGCCACAGAGCCCCAGGTGTGGAACGCAGCTGCGTAGTGTGAGGGAGGACCTTGTGCAGCGTTTCACCAAGGAGGGTCCCAGGCTCCCTCACTTGTGCTAAGTGACTTCGAACTTGAGCTTTATCACCCACCCACATGTGAAGGGTGTGCACATGTGGGGTGTGTGTGCACACGTGAGGGGTGTGTGCACATGTGGGTGCATGTATAGATGTGAGGCTATACACACATGTGGGCACATGTGAGGGGTGTGTGCACACGTGAGGGGTATGCACATGTGAATGGGTGTGCACACGTGTGTGCACATGTGGCTGTGCGTGCACATGTAAAGGTATGTGTACATGTGAGGGGTATATACATGTGAAGGTGTGTGCATGTGTGCAGGGTGTGCAAACGTGAGTGTGCACATGTGAGGAATGTGCACGTAGGGGCGTGTGCACATGTGACATGAACACACATGGGGCACGTGGGCACGTGTGTCTCCCTCCCTCCCTCCCTCCCCCACTGTGTGGGAGCCCATTGGATGACTCCGGGCTGTGGAGGTCTATTTCTTTTTCTTTTTTAAAAAAATATCTCTTTATTGATTCAGAGAGGAAGGGAGAGGGAGAGACAGAAACATCAGTGATGAGAGAGAACCACTGATAGGCTGCCTCCTGCACGCCCCCTGCTGGGGATCAAGTCCACAATCTGGTCACGTGCCCTCGGCCAGAATCAAACCTGGGACCCTTCAGTCTGCAGGCCGACTCTCTATCCACTGAGCCAAACCAGCTGGGGCGGGAGGTCATGTTCAAGTCCCTCCCGCCAGCCTGCCTGGTTCTCCAGCGAACCTGGAGGCTCCTGTTTTGGAGGCTGCTGGGACCAGGCCTGCAGAGGGCTGGGGTCCTTCCTCAGGGGCCCCCGTCTGCTAATAGGGGCCCTGGAGGCTCAGGGTGGGGAGATGGGGGTGGCTGTGTCCACCCTGAGCTGGCGCCGCCTCTCAGCCGATTCACAAATGAATCTTCTCTCAGAACTGGCGAGGCGCGTGTTGGGAGCCCAAACACTCTGGGACCCGCAATATAACCGATGCACTCCCTCCCCCGACCCAGAAACCTCCCCTGGCTCCCCTGGAAAGGGGACGTGAGCTAAAGTCATATTCTTGAGTAACTTAATTGACAGGAGCCTCGGGCAGTCGGAGCAGGCCCACTGATCCAGCTCCCCGTTGGCAGGAGGAGGAGCTGGGTGCCCAGGCGCATGCCCTCTGCCCGAGTCTCCAGGGGATGCGCGAGGGGGACACAGGCTCCCCGAAGGGCCCC